TACAACACAAAACACATATTTTAATTTATATGTAGGATATATATATAATATAAATTTATACTTCTAATAATACATGAGTTGAAAGACAAACACAAGTTGATCTATATAAAAATATGGCAAAATACCTAAATCCACCTCTAAAGTATAATTGCAGAGACGGATCCACTTCGAACAAAAAATAGGAACAAATTCACTTATAAAATTTTCAATTTGGACAAATCACTCCAAATTTAATGTGTGACATCAACTGACGTCAATAATATGTTATTAATGATAAATAAATTAACAAATTACTAACGTTAGATAACGTCATATGTTAAATTTAGAGTAATTTGTCCAAATTGAAAACTTTGTGAGTGAATTTGTCCCTTTTTTTGTTCATGATGAATCTATCCCTAGCACTATACTTTGAGGGTGGACTTAAGTATTCTGTCTAAAAATATAAGGGACTACATGCACTTAGGCACAGATATCAATTTAGGTTAAAATATTAATTTTATCCCTTAGCTTTTAGATTTGTGTTAAATTTTCCTTTAACTTAAAAGAATACCAAAATTATTCCTTAATTTTAATTTTTGAAACCAAAACAATAATTTCATTAATAGAAGTGTCATGTCATGTGACTTTATACCTTGCCACAGAATCAATTTTTTAAAAAAATACTAATGATGTATAAAATTAAATAGTTATATTTTATTATTATGACAAATTTTTATGGTTTAAATATTATTTTGGTCCCTCAACTTTCCATTTTGATACAAAACTTGTCCTTTCACTTTAAAAAATTATTAAAATTATCCCTAAACTTTTATTTTTGATATCAAAATAATCATATCGTCAGTTAAATAGACAAATAGCATGTTAACTTCCCAACAAATCAATTCTTTCTTTCTTAACTAATGACATGGAAAAAAAAAAAAACATAATTGGCCATTTTTTTATAAGTTAGCATTTTTATTTAATTTAAAAATAATGATATTTCTTTTTTATCCACGTCATCTCTTCTTCCTCCTCCACTACCCCCATCCTTTACCTTTCCTTCTCCCTTTCCTCTGCAAACCCAAATCTGGTTTCAAACTTCATCTTCTTCTTATTCTCTCTCTCTCTCTCTCTCTCTCTCTCTTCTCCCTTCTTCTTCCTTTCTCAAACCCAGATCTAGGTTTCATCACATAAATTAACCCAAATCCCCATTCCAAACACTAAAAAATAATTGTGACAAACACATAAAATATCACCATAACTTCAATAATTATCTCACATCTCCAAATCCAGATAAGAAATCGTAAACGAATCACTGTACTCGACGTACCAAACCCAGTCAACTCATGGCAATATCACCAATAAATCGGCTCCAACTCAACTAAAATTCATTCAAATCATCACAGAGAGGATCCAAAAGTCAATTGAAGACATCGAATACAAATTAGAGCGAAAACACACCTTATTCTTTGCCAGTTATAAAGAGAAGAATGCTTGCATCGACTTCTCTCCAATTTCGAATGGCAATTCGAGAAAAAGGACTTCCGACAACGAAGAAGAAGACACAAGCTTCGGTACAAGATTCAGAGTTTGCAGAGCAGAATCTGAGTGTGATGTTTGAGAAAAACCTAAGTTTCGCCACAAGTATGCGATGTCGGTCTCCAGGCCAATGGAAAACATGAAGAGTATGCAGCACATGAGGGAGAAGAATTTGTAGTTCTTTGTGGAGGAAGCCTAAAAGAGGAATTCCTTAACCTTGTCGATTCAGGTTAACAAGGAGGGACCTACAACAATACCAACATGATACAAAAGATGAAAATTTTCACAAATTTGTAGAGAAAATGAACATGGCACGACTGAGAGAAACCTAGATTTGGGTTTGAGAAAGGAAGAAGAAGGGAGAAGAGAGAGAGAGAATAAGAAGAAGAAAGAAGAAGGATGAGCAGGGAGAAGGAAAGGAGGAAAAGATGAGGTTGAAGCTCATCTGAACCATTAAAATTCCCAAATTCCGTTGAATTTCGATTCCATCTGAAACCATCTCTGTCCTCGTTGAAGCTCCTTCGACCGGCTAAGCTGAATTTTTTTGAGCCTTGCTGCTCGATTGCAGTCCCATGGTGATAAGAAACAAAACGTTATAGTATAAGAAACAGAACGTTATAGTACAAGAAACATAGAGCCACTGTCAAGAG